TTTAAATCATAATATTTGAAATATAAAAATTTCGGAACTGTAATTTTTAAATCTAAATATTTTACAACTCTAAAATGTATAGAACATTAAAATTTTAAGGAATTTGGACCTCTAAATACTTTAAGACCTTAGAATTCTAAAACCATGCAAACAGACATTTGAAAATCTGTAATTTTAGAATTGACATTTTGTAATTCTGGATAATAAAAATTGTGAACCCTTGATGAGAGATAATTATAACAACTGCAAATTTTGTAATACACAAATTTCAAGACGCTACAATCTTGAAATCTAAATATTTTGCAACCACAAAATTTATAAGAACTCATCGCAAACTTGATGGCATAGTTACACCCTAGAAATTTCACGAGCTTGTAACTCTAAGATATCAGAGCGTTCCGCATAAATGTCTACCGATAAAACCGCCATAGCTAACGCAATATAACACATTCGGTCCATTTGATATGCAATAACCAAACAGCGCCGTAAAGGCAGTGCTCATCTTGCAGTAACTCGGGCGGAAGTTCTCTGTGGCATAATCCAAAGATACCGTTTCGAGTTCGTCCGGTCGTGGCGGTTTAAATCGTGGCCCAGCCTCGTTAATCCATTATTCAGCGAGCGGATCGGAAATTCCGCAACTATGCAACGCCTGGTACGTGACGTGGTCTCACAGTGAGAATGCGTAATAATTCGTCGGAGTGGCGAACGGTGTATTCAACGCGTCGATCGATTCCGTACGGCAGCGATGGAAATCGGGCTGACAGCCGAGCAGCGGGCGTATCAATTTCGCGGGCTAACAGAACGCGCGGCGAGCGCCCCGACGCTCCTCGCGTCGCCGTTAGCTCGCCTCTAACTGTATACACGGTTGCAGCCTATTAATATCTAAAACTAATTAATCTAGGAGGCTGTGCGAACAAGTGGCTGAGAACGGGAACGAGCCACGACGTCTTCTTGCCGAAAATCCACTTTTCTTCGGCCACATCGATCAAAGTCGACCGAGGTTCTTTGTTGCCACTCGAAAGAGAAAAATTATCACCGATTTTTGGAACTGTGTCAGATGTGTTATCGTTACGTTCTTTCACTGCATCTCTGCTAGGAACATTCCACCTGCTTGATCAACCTTCTCAAAATTTACTCTTTTGTGTAAGCTTTTATCACCGAAAATTAAGTTTTGTGCATTATACATTCTCTTATCTATGTTATAGAAGTATATTTATTTTTCCTAAATTATTTCTGAGAATTATATCACTATTTTATATTGCAGAAATGTTTAAATTTATAAATAATGAAGCTGTAATGTTACACTGTGTTAAAAGTGTATTTACGTAAAGAATTTATGAACAGATCAGACACTTTTTCATTTCTATCGGCGATGTTTCGGAATTTCGCGATGATTGAGACACCGAATACAGCGATATCGGGAACAGAATAAATACGATTTATAGACTGTCATGAAACGTTCGAGCCCCGTTTCGGAAATGCAAGTATTGACAATAACGCCGTGGCTCTCCCGGTATTTGGAAAAAATGAACATGACTGATATAAATGCAATAAATGCCTCCGCGTAATCGCAATTTATGTATAAAATGTACGAAATAGCAAACACGAATCGACCAGTTTCCCGATAACCTTAAAATGTATAAATACAAAGGGGAAACGGTTCGATTCGTTATACAAAATGTACAAATCTACCAGACCTAGGATCAAAAAACTCTGCAGGGAAGAATATTGTACGCATGTCTACCTACGATGTATAAATATGTACAAAATGAGAAATATGTAAATAGCACTGGGCAAGATACTGGGTCTTAAAGAAAACGCATGCATTTCAGGGATATTTAATAATATACTCTATGTATATATATGTATATATATACCATAGGCGTGTTTCAGTGTGTGAATCAGAGCTGGGCATTGTTCTATTGTAAACGATATTATTTAGGAATAACGAATAATTTTTTGGTAAAGATTCATTTGAATTTTTCAAATTTTTATTATAGTTTGAATTTTATTATAAATTGATTGACAATTGAATTCTGGTTTGGAATTAGAATTATTTATTAAAGCTTGATAATTAAAAATTTTAGCCTATAACGATATTATTGTATAATAGTAGTACTATAGTAATACTACAATAATTGTACAGAGGTAATAAACTAGTAGTATAGTGTTAGCATGGTAATGGAACAGTAATAGCACAGCAGTAGTAAAACAGAAATATAGTACTACTATTGTAATAATTTTACTACTTCTACACATGTATAACTAGTAATATAGTCGTAGTATAATACTAATATAACAGTGTAGCAATAGTATAGTAAATACATAGTAATGATATAGTAATTGTTTAGTGGTAGTATAGCGGTACTATAGAAATTCTGTAGTCGCAGTATAGTAACACTGTAATAATTCTACAGTAGTATAGTAATACTATAATTATTCTATGGTGATAACACAGTAATACTACAGTAATTCTATAGTGGTAATGCAGTAATATTATAGTAATTCCACAATGGTTGCGTAGTAATATCATAGCAATTCTATAGTTGTAGTATAGTGATGCTATAGTGATAGTACAATATTGCCATAGTACTAATACATTACCAGTACAAATATTGTATAGTAATAATAGTATAGTGGTAGTATAGTAATTGTATAGTGGTAGCACGGTAGTAGTATAGTAGTTGTATAGTAGTAGCATGCTAGTAGCATAGTAGTAATATAGTTGAAATATAGTAGTAGTATAGTAGTAGTAGTAGAATAGTAGTATAGTGGTATAGTGGTATAGTAATATAGTAGTATAGTAGTGTAGTAGTATAGTAGTATAGTAGTATAGTAGTATAGTAGTATAGCAGTATATTAGTATAGAAGTACAGTAGTACAGTAGTATACTAGTACAGTAGTATAGTAGTATAGTTCAAAAATATAGTAGGAATATAGTAAAAGTATAGTCGCAGTATAGAAGGAGTATAGTAGGAGTGTAGCAGCAATATAGTAGTAGTGTAGGATTAGTATAGTAGTATCGTAGTAATACTATAGCAGTACTATAGTACTTACACAGTAATAGTATAATAATAATACAGTAATACTACTCTAATAGTACACCAATATTTTAATAATAATATGGTAGTACAGTAATAGTACAGTAGTTCCACTATACCAATCTTTTATTACGTTTCTCCTAATTTCTCTCCCCTCATAATAAAATTTGCGAATATAAAAGCCAATTTTTTCTATATTTAAGTAAAAAAATTATTCGTTATTCGTAAATATGCCCAATTGTAGTGTGAAATAAAATGTGTATATAACCCTTTTAAGATGCGAAGCAACACTGGGATCATTTTTTACGTACCATCGACGATTCGAATCAATTTGAATCGGAAAAAAAGGAACGTACGTAAATTGATTCACGATCGACGTACAATAGGCGTTGATTTCTGAAACATTCTTAAAATCTTAACTCCTCGAATGTTTCGAGGATATTTTCCCTTTTGCCGCGGCGTTCTTTTTAAGATTTAAATTATTGATTCTCAGAACGATATGGATTTATTTCGTTCGATTCGGTTTTAATACGTTCGAAAACAAAGAGAGATTTTAACGAAGTTTAATTCGGACAACGGTCGGTCGGAGAAATATTAAATGAGCCTAATTTGGAAACAGGCTTTAAAGTTCCGACGCTTTAATCTCTGCGATCGGATGATTGGGTGTAATTGTAGCGAGAATGTGCCGGATTATGGGAACGCATTGTACGTGCCACGAATTAGCTCGATTTTGTCGTGTTCGACCATTTTGATATTTTCCACGTTTCGATATAAAAGTGATTGAAAATTTTGCAAGATCATTTTAATGTATTTTCAATTCACTTATAAATTAAAAAACTCAATTTAGGTATAACTTATCCGATTTATTGATTTTGTTCGTTTTTTTTATAGACTTGATCTAAATTTTTAGACTGATATTTTTTCTTTTCATAAAAATTAAAAACATTAAACATTAAATTAAATTATTCACTAAAAGTGTACAGCAATGGATAGTTTACAATTTTTCATATGCTTGTAGAGCATTATTTTTCGAATAACAATAAATTAAATTAGAAATGAAAATTTCTACTGATTTCCATAAAATTGCTTTTTAGTAAAATTGGAATTTTCTATTAAACTTTGACTGAGCACAAATTTTTTTGTCATAAAGTCAATATCAAACTGTATTTTTCAACATTTACATTGTTTCGTCTCTCACAGAATTGCAATAAAAATTGCAATTCAATATCGAATAAAAATTTATGAAATAAATTCAACAGTGTAAGAATACACGTCACGAAATATTTAATAATTCAGAAAATCTACTATGATCTTTATGGATAAAATTTTTTAGGTTATTGAATTTCATAATTTATTATTACATAAAACAAAAATTGTTACAAATGTATAGTTTCGTACAGAAAGAGTTAATCATTATTCAAACAATTACTCATTGAACCTTACTGTCTAAAATTTTATTTATAATTTAATAAAATTGCATAATTTTGCTTTCTGAAATATTTTGCTCGTTAAAATAACTTCACCTCATATAAAAAGAATGATCTACATTTGAGAACATAACAAAATCAAGCAACTCGTGACTCAAAATTTCGAAAAATCCGAAACACGTTTCCAAATACTCCAGTTTCTATAGTCCTCCAGGAATTTAACACGAACGCGATGTTTTATAGTGTAATTCTATTAACTCATCGTTCTGTATCACCCGATTGAATTTCTTTTTCAAGAATTATCAAATAAACTCGTTGTACCGTGCCCGATAAAAAAAAGGAATCATTTTTTTATTCCGGGAACACTTCGGTGTAAATTAAATTTAAGCAAACGTTCGCGCTTTTTTTAACGAAGAAAGAATAGGTTCGATCTTTCTGATGGGAATTTTTACTTTGTACCCAGGTTAATTGAGTTTCTCGATTTACCGTGCTAAACTGAATTTCCTATGTAAATGGAGCAAGATTCAGTTACCTGTTGTACATGAGTATGTCTGGCTTCCAAAGCTTGTTTGGTGTAATTCGAAGGTCCTTCACGCCTCCGTACTCGGATTCGTTCCATTGAAGGTTGTAGTCCATCCATTCCTGGAACAGTCGGACAACATCGTTAACAAACAACAAACAACCTCGCATAATGAAGAAAACTTCTATTTAATTACTTCCCATATTGTTTGAATTTTATTCGGAATTCTGTGCACCCTCTGTGACGTTCAGATATACATTTTTTCTGTCGAAATGTTAAAATTAAATTTACATAATAAAGAAAATTTCATTATAGTTTATTTTACTTTATTTCTACTCTCAATGTAATGCAAATGTATTTCTGTCGAATTCGGAGGTTCATTAGCCTAACCTAAATAAAATCGTAATATCTGAAAGTTAATTCAACATTTCTATTTTTAATGTAAATCCTATTTACAATATACATTTTCTGTGCACTGTAAAGATTCATGAGTATAATTTAAATTTATATAATAAAGAAAATTATTATTTATTTTATAAGTTACTTCAATTTTATCCTTTACCATTAATGGTCAAATATGTAGATTTCACTGGTATTTATATAAATTGTAATTTTTATCAAGATTTATGATTGTTACAGATTTGAAACGAGTAAAATAGAATTACGTAAAAAATTAGGTCACTCCTTCTAACCTTGAAAAGTTATATCTGAAGAGGTTAAAACGGAAAGGTTGAAACTTTACTATGAAATTGTTACTTTCACTTTATGTCAGACAAACTTTTTTCATGTGAAATGTACGAAACTTTAACATTAAAAATGTAGACGATGCAGTTAAAGTTCTATTCATAAATTCAACTAGTTAAGATGTGGACTTGATACTCTCTCGTTTCTTCAACAAATTTCATAAATTTTTTCAGAGTGAGACCTTGAATATAATACTGAAAACATGATGAATCATATCCGTAAATTATTATGCTGTATTGGACAACTTCATTATGTAAAATTAATGAAACTAATATTAAAATATGCACACATGTAATAGATTGCACGTCTAGCTATAAATGTAAGTATACCAAGTGCAGTTTGTACGTTTACTCGTTTCATCATCAAATTTCATAAATTTTTTCAGAGTGAGACCTTGAATATAATACTGAAAACATGATGAATCATATCCGTAAATTATTATGCTGTATTGGACAACTTCATTATGTAAAATTAATGAAACTAATATTAAAATATGCACACATGTAATAGATTGCACGTCTAGCTATAAATGTAAGTATACCAAGTGCAGTTTGTACGTTTACTCGTTTCATCATCAAATTTGATTAATTTTTTCAGAGTGAGACCTTGAATATAATACTGAAAACATGATGAATCATATCCGTAAATTATTATGCTGTATTGGACAACTTCATTATGTAAAATTAATGAAACTAATATTAAAATATGCACACATGTAATAAATTGCACGTCTAGCTATAAATGTAAGTATACCAAGTGCAGTTTGTACGTTTACTCGTTTCATCATCAAATTTCATTAATTTTTTCAGAGTGAGACCTTGAATATAATACTGAAAACATGATGAATCATATCCGTAAATTATTATGCTGTATTGGACAACTTCATTATGTAAAATTAATGAAACTAATATTAAAATATGCACACATGTAATAAATTGCACGTCTAGCTATAAATGTAAGTATACCAAGTGCAGTTTGTACGTTTACTCGTTTCATCATCAAATTTCATTAATTTTTTCAGAGTGAGACCTTGAATATAATACTGAAAACATGATGAATCATATCCGTAAATTATTATGCTGTATTGGACAACTTCATTATGTAAAATTAATGAAACTAATATTAAAATATGCACACATGTAATAGATTGCACGTCTAGCTATAAATGTAAGTATACCAAGTGCAGTTTGTACGTTTACTCGTTTCATCATCAAATTTGATTAATTTTTTCAGAGTGAGACCTTGAATATAATACTGAAAACATGATGAATCATATCCGTAAATTATTATGCTGTATTGGACAACTTCATTATGTAAAATTAATGAAACTAATATTAAAATATGCACACATGTAATAGATTGCACGTCTAGCTATAAATGTAAGTATACCAAGTGCAGTTTGTACGTTTACTCGTTTCATCATCAAATTTCATTTTACTCGTTTCATCATCAAATTTGATTAATTTTTTCAGAGTGAGACCTTGAATATAATACTGAAAACATGATGAATCATATCCGTAAATTATTATGCTGTATTGGACAACTTCATTATGTAAAATTAATGAAACTAATATTAAAATATGCACACATGTAATAGATTGCACGTCTAGCTATAAATGTAAGTATACCAAGTGCAGTTTGTACGTTTACTCGTTTCATCATCAAATTTCATTAATTTTTTCAGAGTGAGACCTTGAATATAATACTGAAAACATGATGAATCATATCCGTAAATTATTATGCTGTATTGGACAACTTCATTATGTAAAATTAATGAAACTAATATTAAAATATGCACACATGTAATAGATTGCACGTCTAGCTATAAATGTAAGTATACCAAGTGCAGTTTGTACGTTTATTCATTTCATCATCAAATTTGATTAATCTGTTCAGAGTGACTGAGACATTGAACATGACATTGTAAACATAATAAGTTCAACCTACAAATCATCACAAAACATTGATCTTTGTGCTCCAAATTAATGAAAGTGATATATGAAAATACAGTAGGCTACATCAGTATGCTACCAGTGCACCCACGAACAAAGTACATTGAAGGAAATAAAGAGAAAGCATTATTCTCGAGTTAAACGGGTCTTCTTTACGTTTGATCAGGTTAGATCCGTTAAATTCGTAGAAGGACGAACATCATCTGAAAACCGTCGTCAGGTGAAAAAGAAAAAGGGTCACAAACCGGTAGTTCTGTATATTTAAGCGCAGCAGTGACTTTTTTTCGAGGAATGCGCGACCTGGTTTTATGACGTTGGTGTGCAAACTGCATAGAAAGCACGTCGTTTTATAATGTATACTTCAATTTCCGGGTCTGGACGGTGAGTCTCGGCGTTTGCTCATTAGATTACGCGGCTGAACTGCACAAACGAGGAATTCAGAGGGTGAAAGTTCGCCTTCCGTTTTCCAACAGGGCCTACGGAACGCATCGTGTGTCTGCCTCGAGATTCTCAAGTCCCTTTCCTTTCTGCTTACGATTCGACCAAGCCTGCCTGTGAACCATGCAAACGAGGCGTAACGAACGCTCTTTCGAAATAAAATTTCGTCTCAACGGCACCGCACAGAGCACCTTCTATTTGCTGCCAGTTCAACCTGTCGAAAGGAGTTTCGCCTTTTCGGAGATTAAAGGATTGCGTTCCTTTTTTTCCTTCTTTTCTTTATTGGCGAGAAACTATTTTTTACACTTCAACGTTTCGATCGAATTCGAAAGGAGTTTCCTTGCCTCCATTTGTAAAACTTCGGCTATCTTTTTAATCCTTTAACTGCGGGTGTGGTTTAGGAACCACGTTTTAAAGTATACCGAGGTGGTGTGGTATATAAATAACGATAATTTTTGGTAATGGTGACTGTGGTTTATATGCCACTAAAAATAAAATAAGTACAAAGGAAATTTTTTCAAAAAGACTCTTGAGGAAGAAGATTAAATAAAAGCTTGTTGCAGGAACAGTACCCGCAGTTAAAGGGTTAAGGAGGTGGACGCAGTACGTTGCATAAATACATCAACCCCCGTATTTCCAATAACTTAAGCTTTCGGTAGGAAATTATGGTCAGTGTTAATACTAACTTGTAGTATGTAATAAATTGTGTGGAAATTAACAGGAGCCTTAAGTCAGGTTTCATACATTTTCAATCTTCGTTTTTTATGAAACTGAAAAATTGTTTTTAATCAGCTGAATATTTACGGTAATATCCTAAATTTTTATACACATAATTTATTATTTACCACGAATTAGTATTCATAGCACATTGATCATAATTTTCATGTATGCTGCGTACTGTAGACACGATTTAAATTGAATAATTTGGTTTTGGACTTATTGCAATAATTCAAGTTATGAAACTTTTTAATAGCTATTAAAGGAATGGGGGGAACTATTAAGGTAGGGAGGACTATTAAAGGGGTAAGCATAATTTAAATTTGAATGATTCCGTCCATTATTATTACATGGAAAATTTCGACCACTGCTAAAAGAGCTATTAAAGTGATATGGAGAGACTGTTAGGGGTGCAAAAGAGCTATTAAAGGATAAGAAAACTTTCAGTCCAAATTGGTTTGGTTTTAAGGAATTGTTCCATTATTTTAACACAAAAATTTCGACATTTAAAGAAAAGAGAAATTCTTAAGTGGGTAAAATACTATTAAAGTTTGCAAAAGAGACTTAAAAATTAAAAGAGTAGAAATGAAATTTGAATAATTATGATGTAAAGGATTTATCTTGTTGTTTCAACAATTATGTGGCTTAGGTTAGGTTCGTTTAGGATAGGTTGCATTAGGTTAATGGCGAATCAAACTTATTAAAAAAAGGTGTCTTCTAAACATTTACAAAATCAGATAAAAATAGAAATGAAATTGAAATAATTTACTACACAATTAAATAACATTATTTTTAATTATGGAAAGTTGAGTTAAATTAAATGAAATTAAGTTAATAAATTTTTGAATTCATCAGGAGGAAAATATATCTTAATTTTCCAAATCTTTAAAAAAAATATTCTGGTACAATTCATTATATAACATAATTTGTAATAAATTTTATAATTTATCATTCTTCTATTTTTTCCAATTCCTTTGCTTAAATTAGACTCAGTTTTCCCTCCATAATTATAATGAATGGTAAATTAACTTTAAATCGAAAACTGTTTCAAAACACTTAGGCTAATTTTTCGAATTTATCAAAAGGAAGATACGTCTTAATTTTCCAAGTCTTTACGTGCATAATATTAAAAAAATAATGCATTACCAACAAATAAATATATTACGAAATTTGTATCAAATAAACAAACTATTTTTAATAAATTGTATAATCATTTTATTTTTTCAAATTCTTTTTCTTAAATGGCTTTAAATAATTTTCCTCCATAATTA